TGACATTATACAAGGTGGGATGGCTGAGCATAATATATCTAGGTACCAAGATCAGTTCTCAGCAGGGGCACTGCTTGTCCTGACTGAAGTATTTAATTATTTTCCTTGGTTAAAGTGAGTCTTGTTGAGATGGCACCTTACAACAAGAAACATGCTGCTAGCAGAATTTGGATTTTACTTGTTCTAATCTGTACTAGTATCTCAACAGAACATTTCTGAGATACGATGAATGTTCTCGCCAGAAACAAACAGTGGAGGGCGCCACTGAAGTCATTACACAAATCACGAACCTAACAATAGGCATTTACACCCAATTTGATGCTAAATAATCTGCAATTAATTCAGCACCATTATATAGCGTATATATAACCAGTCACCATTGTCTCACACATATTTCATGCTACACCATACTATAATTAAAACAATGTTGTTAACCGAATGTATTTAATGTTTAGGATATGTGAGAACCCAGGTTCATGGTACAACATCAGTGAACTGGTGCACCCAGATGCTAGCTCATCTATCATGTTCACTGCAGAAGCCCCCCAGCTGAACAGGTTCTGCGATGCAAGCACTCACAACAGATATGCTCCAACAAAACATAACCTCATTTGTAATCGCAGGAGTACGTCAGAAGTGATCCTACAACACGCAGACTTTGTCAACAGGTAAGTAGGATCGTGATAGTCGCAACATGTCATATGACATGGTTATCACTACCTGCAGGAAGTAGTTAAAAATGTTCTAACAGTATCCTTAGGTCATTTTTGTACTGATATTGTCGAAGGCCATTGTTGCTCAACTGTACCAAAAATGGCAATGGAAATTGACCATTGGAAAGCTATTGTGAGCGCTAATGAATCACGGTGGAGTTGGTTGGTTACCTAAGATTTGCCAGTCTTTATGTTGTACCCCCAAAACTATGTAAGGATTTTAATTGAAATGTAATATTAGGGATTTATACCAAAAGTTATCATGCAAAACTGATCTTGATATGTACTGGTCCATTGCAAATCTAAATCTCTCATATTTCTCAAAAGATCATTATTGAATTTGGCATGTCTAACAAATGTAATGGCTCCTTATGATCTGTAGGTATTATTTAAAAAAATGTCTCAGTATAATGTATATTTACCAAAACAAAATTAAAAATAATTGATGCCAATAAAATATCCCTGATTCTTGAATATCTTGTTCAGTAGTTTGGATGCAATGTTTTTTTTCCCTTTCACAGTATTGAAGATTCATCATTTGTAACAAATACAACACCAGTGTTTCATTACAAGAAGCGACTCTTGACAAGGTATGTGTTGGTGATAGAAGGCACCAGAGACATGCTCATACGAGAATCATGGACTTTCCTGCGATTGGCTGTACGCAAGTGGGCAGGTCATGACCTTCCAGCCAACACTGAGGTGGGACTTGTACTCAGCAATGATACGACAGGACATCGCCTTTTGCCACTGTCTCCACTCAACAACCATGTCAGGAGTCAGATATCAGGAAATATTCCATTCACTCCAGGAGACTCGCATTCTGCAGCGTGTCTCCACTGCGGTATCCGGCAGGCACTTGATGTAAGTTCCCCATCTCTTCTGCTGGGCTCGTATTATTACACAGAGATGTGTCTCTTGTTTGAATGCAACTACCGGGCATCCATAAATAAAGATATGAAGTCGAGTTTAACTTTTTTTCTTGAATTGTAAAAACCTGTTACTGGTACGGGATATTTTTGTAAATAAACATTTAAACAGTTTATTTGTTTTCATTCTGTACATGAAATTCCTGCATCATTGTCATTTCTCATTCTAGTAATCATTCAAAACCCTTCATCAACTGCTGACTTCTCAATTTTATTTCATCGAACTCTATCTTGTCTTACAGTATCTCTTCCTTATCATCCATGTATCATTACAAAATGTTCATTTCAATTCATTTCAAAAGTTTAATTCAATTTATTGCCTGTTCTTGCGTGTAATTTTATCATAAAATTTGGTTCAGGCTGAAAATTTGTTGAGCTATTTTTAACATCATTATTGTAAGAAGAGTAACCAACCATAACCTAAAAATTACGATATGATACTTGTTCTGTAGGCAGACTGTTTTACAATATTTTTTTATCTAACTGGATATTTTCCTTTGAAGCCCATCATTTCACAATCTTATATTTTCCCAGATGCTTCAAGAACGATATCACATCAGGGGGCCTGCCAGTTCCATTATAGTGGTGATTGCTCCGGGCATGGATCATTCTATTGAGATTGAGCCATTACTGAGTCAAGCCATTGATGAAGGTGTTCGTATCGCTACCATCAACTACCCAGCCATTCTCCGCCCTCTCCCACTGGATCATCTGGCACATACTACAGGTGGTCCATACTACACAGTGCAGGAGCAGCGCTACAACATCGCTGCTTCGTATGTGTCAACGTACTTCAAACTGGCCAATGTTATGTTCAGCATTGCAACGCAGTTTTATCAGGGCAGTATGGCTGGTATGCCACTTGAGGTAAGAACGTGATGTGGTTGAAAGTTATGTCTAGTTTGTAGTATTAATATTTTACAAATGTGTTCTTTGCAGATTCCATCTCTCACAGGTGTTGGTGTGGCGTTCATTTATTGCCAATACGAGTCTTTTGTTTATAAATTTCTGACAATAAAGATACTATACTGAATTATTATAAACTTATTTTCCTTATAGTGTTAACAACTACAGTGACTGAATATTGACATTCTGTGTTTTGTCTGTGATTCATCTTGGAACTTCTGTTCTTGCATTTAATTTTATAATTTTCATGCATTAACAGCAAGAGACCATTATCATCACTGTGACCAACTTTCCAGATTCATAGGCGAGAACTGTCCGATGATGGACGTAGCAGCGTGACTGGCAGCTTTGTGCTTGATGAGTCACTTGGCGAACCTGCCCAGTTCACTGTATTCACCCACAACATTGAGAATCCATTAATACGAGGCATCTCGCTGGTCAGTCCATCCCAGGTTGTCTATTCAGCCCAGTCAGATTCTCTGGTTGCCGTCAAACTACTCACACTATTTGCAAATATCAACGAGGTACGTTCATTCATCAGTCGTTATACATATCCTTCTGTAGAGATAAATACTGCTGTACATGTTGGCTTATTTTTACTGTTTTCCGTAGGCCAGAAGAACTGCTGAATAAAGGCAGAAAATAAATGAAAGCAGATTTTGATATGGGGCACTTTCAACTATGTTTATGAACATTTTAGACACTTATGTTATCATTCATAAATTGTAAATCCTGTGCATAGAAATTGAGTTAATGGGAGATAATAGAAAACTATACACAAACAATTCCATAGTATACACTGTAAGCCTGATATTGTTCTGTGACTTGATTAAGTAGGATGACATTTGTGAGACACGAAGTATGCATTGCAGAAACAGAAAATGCATACAGCATTTTTGTTGGAAAATTCAAGGAAATAATGTTTGAGATAAGATGCAGATGGTTTGTAAGATTATGGATTAGATTCAAGTAAGGGCTAAGGACAGACTGATGTGCTGATGAAATTTCACAGTTCATAACAACATGTAATTATATTTGTATATTTCAACCCTGTCTGATAGACAGATGGAGATGTCAGAATATTATAGACATGTCCGTATTAGATGACTACATTTGTTCTCTAGACTGGTACATGGACGTACACCATTGAGCGCTTTACTGGGAATCCTCAGCCCCACTTCGTACAGGTGACAGCAACCCCAAGGTCTTCAACAGCTCCTGTTGTCAGATCTCGTGCCTGGGTCAGTCATGCAGTTTCCCCACTGGTTCTTTATACTGAGGTAAGCCAATATTGGATATAGTTGTTTTGTTTTTTTTGGGGGGGGGGAGTAAAAATGTTATAGAGTGTAAATTTTCCATCATTTTTCCCCCTCCTCTGTGCATTTAGTTGTAACACTTCAAAGACAAAGCAGATGGCTGGAAATTATACCAGATATTTTATGGTCACCACCTTGTTACCTACAGTACTAATACATAACCTATTTTCTTAGGTGATCTTTTGATAACAATTAAATGTTCTCACCAATACTGTTATCACCACTAGCTTCTGTCATTGTTGAAACTGTAACAGGCTAACAGGATCATTATGATATGGTTATGATAACAACAGTAACAGTTGCTGATAATTTTAAAATACTACTACTGCGAAAGTGGATGCAGTTTTACAATGGCGGTTTTAAGGGGTTAGCGTATTAATGCATTGACTGTCCTCAGTGTTAAAATCCAAGATCTTTCTTGTAGCATTAGAGTTTTTCTAACTTTTTCCATTCAATATCATCTTGGCGATCCAAGTTTGTTCTGTATCACATGAAAGTAAGGATTGTAAAGGGAAGTGGATTTATTGTAGGTGAAGCGTGGAGATTACCCAGTTCTTGGTGCTAAGGTGGAGGTGACGGCTGTTCATCCTGCAAGCAATGGCTCCATTCTGCACAAGGAGACATTTGAGTTGCTTGATACAGGTGGTGGGGGTAAGTGTGTTTGCTAAAATACCATTCATTGACGCTTCAGGTTCTGTCTTCCATTACGTTACTGGAGTTTTAAAACCTTAATAGTATACATCTTACTTTGTTGTGACTATTCATTGTTATGAATCAACCATTGTCACAAGCATTCACAAAATCATGCATATAAATATTCATTATATAATTTGTTACATTCTGTGAAAACCAGAGCAGATTGCTGGAAATACACTCTAACATTCATTTCAGTCATTTATATTTTAATTTCATGTTTAGGTTCCTTGCTCATAGAACAAGTCATACTGAAACTGTAATTTAGTTCAATATTATATTGGTGTGAATATTGATACTGTGTTGTGAAGAAGGCCATAGGTTTTTGGTATTGAAGTACAAAGGACAGTATTTTGGTGATTAAATCAGGGAAGATAAAATTATGTATAAGTGAGGAAAAAGTTCTTTAACAATGGGCTACTTAGCCGACAGTATTAAAGTAATGTTAGAGATGCAGGTCCTGAAGATATAAGCCAAGTTGAACTAATTCAGGCTATGGTACAGTAGTTGGCTGTTGTGGACACAGTGATGACCTTCAGGTTATGTAGTGCAGGAAACTTGACTTTTTTTATGATATAAATAACTATTGACACTCGAGAGCCTGAACCATGAGTTTGTTATCTGTACAGCAAACCTATCCCATGTCTGCAACGTACTGCAGTCAGCAATGTTTCTTTGTTTTCAGACCCAGACATCACAAAGGGGGACGGAGTATATACACGTTACTTCAATGTAGGCCATGGTGGACCAGGTGTCTACACGTTTGAGGTGACAGTTACAGACAACAGCAACACTGCATACTCTTGGCAAGAAACATTGTCCATACCGTCGCCAGACTCCAGTATGTTGGAATCCACGTATCTGAATTATAGAATCTAACCCAGTATTGTCTATGTAGAAATTTTCTCTTACCTGCATTTCCCTATTTAGTATTCTGTTTTGTATTAATGAAAAGATCAGATAGGCATGGTGCTAATTTAATTTGGTAATTAACTTTACATATGATGGTTAATAAAATGAGACTGTGTGTTTTACTTGTGCGTATGTTAGTCTGTTTGGTTGTATGGAGATGCTTGTACTGTAACTATGATCTTCCATTTGATGCAAGAACCAGATTATGTGGAGTAGATGAGTTTATCAGAAATCTGTGTTCAGAATGCTGAAGGTATTATTAATGAACATTTTTGCTTTAATTTTCCTGTGTAAAATGTGACAGTGTCTGAATCCCTGATGCTGGAGGCAGAAATAGTCTTTGAAATATTATTTTAATTATATTTACTCACAGGAAGATTTAATTGCGTTGTGTTCCTCTCAAACCACCTGTGAGACTTGGCATCAGTTCAAAAGAACACAATCCACATGTTCACCACCATGAAACCTCAGAGTAGTAAACCAGTGGTTAGCTTCTGAACGTGATTTTGTTCTGTGTTGTAGGTGCACAGTGCTGTGGCAGCGTGGTGCCAACTCCAGCCGTACAACCGCTTGCCCCCTTCCAGCGAGTCTTGCCTCCAATCTCCATCACTTTTTCACGTGATGACATTTCGTCACACCCCATTGTGGGTCGGATTGGTGACCTACATGTGGAGTTACTTGCCACTGACTTGAAAGCTCGCCTCACGTGGACTGCCCCTGATATTGGTGGTTTATCTGTGGCTCATTATGAGCTCAGGTATGCTCGAACCATAGCTGATATTGTTGATCGCTTTGAATCATCCATGACTTGGGAATATGGCACCCCTTTCCCACTATCTCCTGGTTCTGAAACATCATTTACTCTTGATTTTACAAGAAATCCCTCACTGTTAGATGTTCCCTTATATTTTTCCATTCGTGGGTTTATGGATAGTGCTGAAAATTCTCTTGGTGGTCCCATTTCAAACTGGGTTTATGTTCTTGTCCCTTCACCTCCACCACCACCTCCACCACCTTCCACACCCCCTACATCCACATTTGACCTTTCATCATGGCCTAATGAAAGGGATGGTGAGGACACTGTTGTTCCTCGCATTGCTAAAGACTCTGACTTTGGACTAGAACTAATACTGCCCATTGTTGGAGGAGTTGCTCTTCTAACGGTTTGCATAGCCGTGTACTGTTACTTATGTGTTCTTCGCCGTCGCCATGGGAACTCTGATAAGAAAGAAAACAGCAAAGGGAAACATTCCAGTACTGGGAAGCAGCAGGTAACATCACAAAACACTGCCATTACAATTGTTCCTTCATCTCCCATGTCAGTGAACAATGGTAGCAGCAATTTGAGTTTGTCTCCATCACAAACTCAGGAGTCAAATGGACTGCCACAGTTTGATTCTTGTCTTGGTGATGAGAAAAAGCGATTCAGCGTGGCACAACTCCAGCAAGAGGAGCAGATGCTGCAGCAACAACATGAACAGATGCTTCAGCAACAGCAGCATGTGACACCACATATTGTAGCAAACCCTAACGTTAGTGGTATCAGCACCATATCAAATGGTTCCAACACGCTAGTACGTGGTCGAACACTCAGCCCTTACCAGTCTTGGACAGCATCACAGCTGCTTCATGAACACGAACGACGCCACAGTCCGTATGGAGGGGTTGGAGAAGAAGTCATGGGGAGTGGAAATCAGACACAGCAGCCTCCCCTTGTACCACCACTTCCATCTTTCAATCCTCAGCACAGTGGGATGTATACATCTGGACCTATTTATGGTGTACATCCGGGCACATTGGTAAATGGTGGTTATCACAGAAATGGATCCTTGGTCTCTTTTAACCCCAGTCTTCAGGGATCACTCAGTTCGGTCAGTAGTGGTGACAGAAAGAAGCGAAATGTGACAATGGTGTAATTAGTTGGTTTCACGTTGGTACTGGAACCAGTTCTTAAGCTAAGAGGCTGAAGCTTTAATACTTGTAGTAATATACATTAAATAGAAAGTTTAGTTTTGATTATGAACTTTGAATGAAAGATCATTTGTGAAAATGTTTGTTTGGATGTGGTTCTAAGCAATTGTGGAAAACATCTCAGAGGAGGCAATCCTTTCTAAATGGTGTTTTCACATACTAGTCATGTACTGCATCACATTTGTTCAGAAAACGGTGTATCTGTGTAGTAAGATTCAAGACTTTGACTGCTCACGTACAACCACAATATAATGTTGAAGGACGAACAACATTTGTATGTGCAAGGCTTTATTTGGCTACTTTGTGATGGTTACGTCAAGTGAGAATGGCAGTGGCCTGTTTCAGTATATTGTCATGACATTAGGATGGAGAGACAAAGGAAAACATAAAGGACTTCGGTAAAGATTGCTTGTTCCAAACCAGGTAACTCTCGAGTGCAAGTCAGATTTGTCAACACTGAGGTAATCTGCTTAAGCAAAAGGTTTGGTTGGTTTTATTTGATTATTTTTTGATTCTGTCAGTTTTGACTGAGATGTGGTAAGATAATTGTGATTATGAGGGATGTGGGAGGAAGAAGTTAGCGCATATTTAAAGGTGATATTTGCTTGTAGGGAAGATAGCAAATGTGCCCACCTTTCATCATGTGATGGTTCTCATTTGTACAGTACCCAGCTAGTGTCACACCAATTTTAGCTATAGCTGACTGCCTTTGGCGATGATTAATAAGTTGCTGTTTCCTGTTAAATGTTGGCGATATTTCAGGTTCTCATAGCAACAAATATAAAGATGGCTATCTTTTGGAGTATTGTATTGTGTAGTCTGGTAGATTTTTATTGAAGTGTGTCTACTACCTACAGGCAGACTACATGGTTCAACATCCCAGAAATCTTATCTATGATTACTTATTGGCTGCCTTTGGTGAAGATGATTTTGTCTAGTACAGGATCAGCAGTATGAAGTCCATCTTCAGGGGTTATGGGGCATGCATTGCAGTGATATGGGATTGATAGGAAATGAAGAACAGTAGGTTATGAGTGCTGAAGGTTTACTTGGTCCAACTTACCGATCAGTCGTAGATGAAACTAATGCACAGTGAGTACACAACAGATGCAGTAAGTTAATGATACTAATTACTTATTTAACACAAATCAGTTTGTAAGAATAATGTTGTTACATGAAATACTTTATTTGTTTGCCCATGTTAATAGAATATATATAACTACTGAGATTATTTTATGTCTGTACTTTAGATTTAGTCAGTCAAAACTGATTCTAACAAGCTGATTGAGAATTTCTAAGAGGAACATGTACGCTACACATGCAGTCATTTGAACTGAATGACAGATGCTGAAGAAATTTGGGGGGAGGTGATGCTTCTTGGCACCTGTAAATATAGTTTCATGAGTTTCTTTCCAGTACTTACAAATTTTTAATTTTGTATTCTGATTAGTTGGCCTGTTGTGCTAGGCTAATCAATCTGATCACGTTTTAGGAAAATCCATTCCTATTTGTCTATTTACATTGAATTTATATGGCATGACAGTTTGAATCTCACTGATCACATACACATACTCCACTTCTTGCACCATTGGAAGGAGGATTGAATCTGCCCATGGTTGTGGCATATCACTTTATCACTTCCTGCTGTCAAATGGAGGGCGTTTCTAATTTGTAGTTCCAATGTGTGTGAACTTCAATGTGTTCCTG